TGATGAAGTTATTCAAGCTGTGATCCAGAAGCCGGATGTTGACCAAGATGGGTACGTGGAACTTGAACATGTGTTGGGATTGATTAAAGAGGAAGGGCTTGGTAAGTTCTGCTCGCTTCCGCTTTACACGTGTCCTGAATTCGCGGGGCTGACTGGAACCGCGTGAACAGGCATCGAGGTTGACGACGAGGCACGAACGATTATCGTTCAGGGCAAGGAGATCAAGATGGATTCAAGGCCTCGAAAAGAAGACGTCGTACAGGAGTAATGGATTAGCAGGCTTGTACATACGCATCCCTTAGACATTTAATGCAATCACAACTTAATCGATCTGTGAATGATACAGTTATGGGGTATGGATGGTATATTGATCTAGGAGATGCGGACAGTGTAATACACCATCGTGGTAATGTCAGCTGCTATGGACATCGAAAGCACACGAAAGGAAGCAGAGAGTATGCGAGATGACTGCGAGAAGCCGAAGATAGGTGGATCGTGGAATAGCACTAAACCTCAAGATATGACATGAATTGTAAAGTTCGAAGGGGCAGAACCGAGGTTCCTTGTTCACTCGTCAATGCAGAGAGGGCGCTAACAGCACTAGAGTGTGGGTATCGGAGCATGTGGTTGGGATATGGGCTCCTCAGCAGGTGTACTGGGGCCCCTCTGATTTTTCCTCGAGATATGTTGGTTCGTCATCTCCATCGGACAGCTCAGCCCACCACCTGCCGGCCTGGAGGATAAGGACACCGGTGAGTGCGACACTGCAGATAAGATGATTGGAGGCGAGCTCAAGCGTCGGGAAACGTAGAACGCGGGGGAAGGGTTCGTCGATTTGTTGGCATGGGAGAGACGAAAACTTGGCTACCATGTCTGGATGTGGAGGAGACGCATTCGTCAGCGTAAATGGAATGCAGACCAATTCAAACGCACTGGGGACAACGGAGTAGAGGTACATCATCACTGTGGTACCGTAGAGGACTGAAGTGGTGGCGTTAGTACGAATTAGACGGGGCACACCACCAAGCATTAAATGTTGTGGAAGTGGTAGCAGAGTGCTCACCTATACTGCCTCCATCAAACATGAGATTGCCTGTTTCCCCGTCGTGGAAGCTCCAGAAGATAGTGACGCCTCCCAATGCGACGATGGCGAGGAGAATGTATAATAACTCTATAGGTGCCTTTGTGAGCACAGAGTAGTACAAGGCTGCGGTCCAAAGATACTCGTCCGTGACGGGTGACTTCCAAAGTGTGAGTGAGTCTGCAATCCAGTGTGTAAACAACGACCCTGCAGTGCACGTAGGGGTCGTGGCGGTGGTCAGTTGCACTGTCTCTGGGTGGAGAGCTGGCCTCACCGAGTAGAAACGAAGCTAAGCAGACGACAATACCCGCTCGTACACTCATCGTGAGCGCGTAAATAGGGCAGTCAGGTTGTGCCTCTGCCTTGTCCTAAACTTGCCCCTTGTTCTTGTACTTGAACCGAAAATCACAGGACAGCTGTCGGCCCATTTCTTAGAGCCAGTTCGGTATGTGGAGAATTTCCAACACCGTTTGTAGGTGGTAAAAATGGGCCGATCATCACTATAACAGTCAGAGCACCCCTCAAATCACATGTCATCTCAGGTCAAAAACGGGAAAGACATACGAAACACTGCAGCAGCGAGGTAAAACACCGCAAGAGGCCACCATACTGTTCATTTCGTGAGTCGTTGATATGGGATTGCTCACCGACATATCAGAAACAGCGCACCTTTGAATGGTCTTTCTAAATGCGGTTTTTTCCAGCGCAAATAAAATAGACCCTGACATATTTTATAAAAAAACAGAAGAGAACAGAGCCGAAGGAACACGTACAACTACAATGAAGAAATTGATAATCTGCATAGGATATCCTTTGACGTCTAATATGAACGGGTATGCTACAGACATTGGGATTACAATGACCTAAGAACGTCGCTTGCGTTAGCCATAATTCCAACGCTGGATGTAGGGGAGGGCACACAGAAGGAATCAAATGCACAATCAAACCTCGCAAGGGGGATTTCCCCGTCGGCCAATTGGACGCCCAGAATTTATTTCCCAGGGGCAGAGGGATGCCTTCTTTAGCAAGTTCTGGAAAGGGAATTTAGTAAACGATTGCATTGCGAACAGGAGCGGAAGGCCTCTGCAATGACGGAACAGGAGGATATGGAGCGGGATGGGGATAACACACCCTGATTCACACGTGCAGCCACAAAGGTCTGTACGCATACTCAGCAAGAAGGGTAATGCATATATATGGACGATGTGTAACACGCACCACAGTAATCACATTTCCCAACGCACTCAGCGCAACGAAAACTGAGGGCGCTCTTTCAGCTGTCGTTCCGAACACGTTTTTAAAGAACAGCGCTGCAACTGTGACACCCGAGTCTTCGATTTCAGTCTGGAACGGTTGCAATACCAGTAAATACGCCCCCCACCAGGTCGTATTGCAATGGAGAGTACGTGGAAATGTGAAACATACCTTAGTCGCGGCAGCGAAGTACGCCACATTTGCAAGGATATACAACAACGTACATATGCCCAGCCTGAGCGGGCCACTAATTTTGAGTGTTCGGACGGGGTTACGGACATTGTTGAGGACGTAGTTGACGTTGGACCAGCCAGCGTAAGCGTTGAGAACTTTAAACGTGGCTGTTGCGCACTATAACGGGTGTATGCGTGGGGAAGTCGCGTTCGCGGGATTTGAGTCAGAGGAAGTACAGGAAAGGTGAAGCGAAGGGAGCGAGAAGAATGAGTCGTGGAAGGAAAAGAGAGCGAAAAAAGACTCACGCTATTACTACTCGTTGAGCTACCCACGAACGCATTGCGGAAGTTAGCATGCGGGTCCTGGATACTCGTTCTGCCGGATAAGACTACCCAGCCTGATACGACAATAAAGACAAGGATGGCGATTTTAAAGGCAGCAAGAATCTGAGTTATAAGGTTGAGTAGAGATTAGAGTCGGGATCTACAGTACACACATTCATAATGCGCACGCCTGTCTGTGGTGTGAGGCCGTGTAGGATGGTGACAAAGAAGATGACTGAGAGAAATTCGGGTCAGGGCCAGATAATAGACGCCAACGGAGAATACACGCCTCCAAGAGCGATACCACGCTCTGACCACGTCGTGGCTGTCTTGCCCGCTGGACGAGGATGCTAGAAAGGGCATGAGGGAAAGCGCCCATCGCCTAGATGGACGTACTTGCTCGCAAATACCTAATTGTAGTGGGCGAATCGGTGAGTGATGGCATTTAGATAAAGAATAAAAGCGTACGATGCAACCGCTTGCAGTGACCACCTTTTCCCCGCCGCTCTTTGGGAACATGGTGCCAAACTCGAGCCATATGAATAGGCCGCAGAAGGATAGGATGGACCCGAGTACCCAGAGGAGGAGAGATGCACCGACAGAGCCAGTACTGGAGAGAATGGAGGAGGGGGTAGAGAAGATGCCTGTACCGATGATACGTCCTACGATGAGAAGAGTACAGGAGACGACACCGAGGTGACTGCCCAGGCCGCCAGCTGAGCCTGTTTAGAGCTGAGTAGTTGGTAGGCGGGAGAATGGGAGAGGCCGCCTGGGCTTTCAGTTTCCGTTTCCGTGGTGTCCGGGACAGCAACCGGTTGCTTGGCACTGCTCTGGGATGCAACCTCTTCGACAGCGTCTGGATCGCTAGCAGGCTTGACATGGATGTACCGAGACCAGAGAGAGGACATAATTGGCATGAATCGGGCAGTCTTGTCATACTTTATCATATTTATTGTGCGGGTAGAGCGACAACCCAATCCTTTAGTCACCGGCACTTGCCTTTCTTGGAACTTGCTTCGGCCGAGGAGCCTCTATGCAAGCTGCACTGCGAACCATCTCGCTGACCCCAAGGAAGGGCATATCTCACGCGGTGACACGTCTGCTGTCAACCAACCCGGCGGCGTCACCATGGTTCGTCGACCCAGAACCTGTGTATCAGAAACAAACCCCACCCCATCTCACACCTAAAGTACAAGAGTTTCCACCCGATCTACCGGATCCTATCAAGCAACTGTACATAAACTTAACCCAATCTCCCCTCTTGGAGCCATCCACGCTGGACGTGCGCGAATCAATTGCACCTCCGCCGGGACTACCACTGCCGAAACGGGCTCCACAGGGCCGCCGAAAACGGGGAAGAACGTACGCGGGGGAAGGTATCGACCAAGACGCCGTGGGTGGTATATGGAATTGGGTCGTCATTGCACAGGTAAAATACGCGTCCATGTCTTATCCTCTGTCCACTAAACTGCAGGATACAGGTGAGGGAAGGCACCGAGAATCGCGGGTCAATTGCAGCTGTCGTGCGATCCGTCCGGAAGACTGTAAGCACTCTTCGTAACTTTTGCCCCTGTACTCGATTTACTCAGTGCGTTTTATCAGTTGCTCACGATGGATACCCCCATTCGCCTTCCGCCGGGTTCTAAGAGGCGGGCGCACAACGGTTGGGCCGTGGTCGATGCGGGGAGTTTTGCGGTACACATTCTTAGTCGAGACACCTGGAAGAAGTACTTCGAACACTTGAACCAGTGATGCCTCCATAACTCCCCCGATCCAACTTCCGACATCTTTGCAGCATATTGCGAAAACGATGGATATGTCGTGCTTGATGTTTGGAAAGAAAGTGACGAACAACCAATAATAAGCATTCTGATAGTACCCGCCCAGCGCCTTCCCTCGCTTCATCTCAGTCACCTAAACTAAGTTGGTGTATGTACTCCGCCAGGTAATGACTAAATATGAGAATGGCCTTTGACAGAATTCTTTGTCCCCAACTCACTTACCGTCGGCAGACAACCTATTCTCAGTATTCCTGGTTCTTGACAGGGGGAAAAAAGTCATCACAGGTACTTGCTTTGCCATGGGGCATTGGTGATGCCTTGAGGGCAGACATCCCCAATAGCCCATTGCAAGCACAACCAGCAAATCACTCCTCAAAGGGCAATATTTGCATCAGGCAGGAGTCGAACCCGGAGCTAGGCCATGGGAAGACCCAATGTTACCGCTACACCACACTAATGCCTAACGCAAGGATGGAGTATTGGGGGTGACACCTGCGTTTGCGAAATGACCACGGTTTACTTGAATGTGAATGAGTTCCAAGTGTCGTCACCGAAGAGGAGATCTTCAGTTAGTCCGCACACATAAATGCGACCCTTCTCACGATCGTCAAACCCAACAAAGGAAAACGCTTCTTGACTCCGCTCCAGTTGGCACCCCGACAAGGACCCCGAAAACCGGTACACAAAAGTCGTTGCCAAAGGACTGTTGAGCCCGTCGTAACCTGCACGACGAATAGTAGCGAACTATAAACCCGTTCAGTGACCGAACTAGACCCCAAACTCCCCAAGTTCTCCTGAGAACCAGCCCAAAGTCGCAGTAATGCAACCAGGGCGACCGCCCACAGCCGGCAGGCCGAGTCAACCAACCTCAGCCAAGCCGGCCCCGACCCCTCCAAACGAAGGGTCCACCCGACCAGCCACCAGAAGTAGTACGCTCCCTCTGGAAGACATAATCAACAGTTCGGACGAACAAGTCAAGGATGCCCAATCAGGCAGAAAGTTTTTGGACGGAATCCAATATACCATCCCAGGCGAGCCAACAACAGCAGAACAAGTCTCCCAGGCCCTCTTCTACATCACCCAGATGAAAGGAGTCACGCCTACGATAAGATCAGCAATCCGGTCAGCAGCCTACTTGGTCCTAGAGCTGTCGGCATCGACCGCCGCCCAAGCCATAGTAAAAGATGTATCCTCGAAGCTGGAACAATCAGTAGTGGCCGCAATCTCCCCCCAGATAGCCAGAATCCTGTCAGCGGCCGATACCCTCAATGATGTCAGGGACAAAATGGAGACAAGCATTACCAGCATCCCCAAAAACATAGGGTACGCCCCAGACCACGAATCGCAAGCTGACCCCACCGTTTTAGACACCCGCATCCAATCCCTGATGGCCGACACAAGCTCCATCAAGGAAGCGATAGACGACCTCAAGGTGCTGGCCAAAACTCAGCCTAACCCGGCACCCACCCCCTACCGGGACGCACTCGTCTCCCAACACAACGACGCGACCGCGGAAACACAGGCACAAGCGACGATGAACGTAGCAAGAGCGCACGCAGCAATCAAGGAACGCCAGATCCTCCTTGATCCCGAACGCGATCACCCCATAATCAAAGGCAACATCTCGAAAGAAGACCTCGTCAAGCTCATCAAACAAGCGTTGGAGACCCTGGAAACAATCGACGGACCTAAGCTGCAACTCAAGTCTCTCACGCGACTCCAGAACCAAGGCATCGTCATCGAACTAAACAGCCAAGAAGCCGCGGAATGGGTGAGAAACCCTCCAAACAAGTTCCTCTTCACGGAAGAACTTGGCGGCAAGATCAGGATCAAGGACAGACAATATCACATAGTAGTTCCTTTCTTCCCCGTATCTACTGACATAACAGACCCGACCACGTTAAGAGAAATAGAAAGCGAGAACGACCTCCCCGCCAACACGATAGGCAACGCCAAGTGGGTCAAAGACCCAACTAAACGAAGCAGACAACAACGAGTAGCTCACGCGCTGCTCTCGTTGACAACTCCCGAAGCAGCGAACAAACTACTCAAGGATGGATGCTACGTGCAGTTAGACCGGCTACGCCCACACAAGGACAAGAAGGAACCGATGAGATGCATGAAATGCCAGCGCTTCGGACACATGGCCAAGGAATGCGCCCACCACGAAGACACATGCGGCACATGTGCAAGAAACCACCGCAGTAATGCCTGCGACTCCCCCCATCTCCCCTTCTGCGTAGTATGTCAATCTGACTCACACCCCAGTTCGGACAGGAATTGCCCGGAATTCATCAAACGATGCAACGCTATGGACGACAAAACGCCAGAGAACAACATGCCGTACTTCCCAACGGAAGAGGCCTGGACACAAGTCCTACTCCCGCCACGTTCAACAGCACCGATCGTCCCAACCAGACCCCCGACACAGTCAATTCAACCGAGACCCAGAAACGCAGGAACGCTACGACAAACCACATTAGGCGAAGCAATGACGATACGCGACAACACCCAAAGACGAGGACTCCCCACGCGAACTCGAGGAGGCCGCGGAGGACCCCCAGTAACCCAACATAGACGCCCACCCCCGGCGAACAACCTCTCCACTCCCACTCCGACCCCATCTACACAAGAACTCACCGCTAACGTAGTCAACGAGCCAGATGAGACGAACCCCCCCGGAAACCCCCTCAATGTCTAATACATCAACACGCGAACAAAACCCATCACGACTTAGAATCTGGCAACAAAATCTCAACAACTCTAGGACAGCAATTTTCTCGTTGATCAACACGAAGGTAGCGGAAGAAAGAGATATTATAGCCCTACAAGAACCGCCGGTGGACCAGTTAGGAAACACCAAGTCGAACTCAAAGTGGAGAGTCGTATACCCCACACACAAGCTAACCAAAGGGGAACGGCCACGAGCGGTAACGTTTATAAACACAAAAATAAGCACTAACGCATGGGAACAGGTAGACTTCCCATCAGCAGACGTAGTAGTGGTAAAAATCAAGACCTCGTCAGGCACGTGCACCATCTTCAACGTGTACAACGACTGCAAGCACGACCGCACGGTGGAAACCTTGGAACGGTTCCTGAACGCAAACATAGCGATTGTACGGCCGACGGAAGACGACCACATGATGTGGCTAGGAGACTTCAACAGACATCACCCGTTATGGGACGAAGAACACAACCGCCATCTGTTCACGACAGCAGCGTTAGAGGCGTCGCAGAAGATCCTAGACCTGGTCGCCGACTACGGGTTGACCCAAGCGCTGCCAAAAGACGTCCCTACACTGCAGTCCACAAGTACAGGGAACTGGACTCGCCCGGACAACGTGTTCTGCACAGAGCTAACGGCCGAAAGGCTGATCACATGCGAGACAAGCCCTGAAGACAGAGGGCCGAACACTGACCACCTCCCGATACTAACCACAATTGACCTAGCTTTAACAGAAACCGTCGATCGACCGAGGCCAAACTACAGGGAAGTAGACTGGGAAGAGTTCAACGACAAGTTGAAGACGGAACTCGAAGCATTGGGCCAACCGAGAATCCTGGCAGACGAAGAAGAATTTCAGAGAGCAGCTCGCTCTATCGACTGAGCCCTGCAACGCACGATAGAATCCGTGGTACCCAAGACGCGCCCACACCCGCACAAGAAAAGGTGGTGGAACAGAGACCTAACGAAGTTACGAAACGAACTAAAAACGCTAAGTAAAACCTCCCATAAGTTCAGAGCTCTACCAGATCACCCGAGTCACAGGACAAGGAAAGACAAATCAAAGGAGTACGACAGGGCCATCAAGGAGGCGAAGAAAGAACACTGGTGTAACTGGTTGGAAGAAGCAATCGACACCGACCTATGGATAGCCAACAAATACATCTCCAACCCGACAGGAGACGGCAGCAAAACAAGAGTACCAACCCTGCTGGGCAAGGACAACGAGGGCAACGTAGCCACAGCAAGCACAAACGAGGACAAGGGACGACTCCTCGCGCAAGTGCTCTTCCCACCGCCGCCCGCGCGCTCGTCAGTCCCAGTGGACTACGACTACCCCGAGCCAGTCGCCAAATGGACCAGAATCACGAAAGAACAGTTAGATCGTACGGTCAAGAAGCTCAGCCCCTACAAAGCTCCGGGACCAGACGGAGTGGCGAACATAGTATTCCAACGCTGCCCCCTGCTATTAGAATACTTACTTCCTCTCTTCAACGCAGTCTTCGCACTACGCACCTACTACGGACCCTGGAGAGAGTCCATCACAGTAATCCTCCGCAAGCCAGGCAAACCCGACTACTCCAACCCGAAAGCGTATAGACCAATAGCCCTACTCAACACGACCGCTAAGCTACTCTCAGCAATTGTAGCCGACAGAGTCTCGTTCACGCTGGAAGCTCACAACCTGCTCCCAGCGACACACTTCGGAGGACGTCCAGGTCGCTCAACGGAAGATTCGCTCCTCCTGATGGAGGCGACAATCAAACACGCATGGAGACAACGCAAGGTAGTCTCAGCGCTCTTCCTGGACATTGAAGGGGCCTTCCCAAATGCCGTGACAGACCGGCTGCTCCACAACATGAAAGCGAGACGGCTCCCAAACGACGTCATCGAGTACACGCGCAGACTCCTCGAAGGCAGGAAAACCAAACTCAGATTCGACGACTACGAATCGGAGTGGTTCCCGATCACAAATGGGATTGGCCAAGGAGACCCGCTCTCCATGATACTATACGTCATTTACAGTGCAGACCTGGTCGAAACAGCGCAAGGCAAAGACGAACTAACTCTGGCTTTCGTAGATGACACCGCGTTCCTAGCAATAGGCAAAACCTTCCAAGACACGCATGAAACTCTGGCGGACATGATGGAAAGGACGGGCGGAGCATTCGAGTGGTCCACTGAGCACAACTCCCGTTTTGAAACAAGTAAATTCGCACTGATTGATTTCACCCTAAGCAGAACGAAACAAAGGGAACCAATGACGATACGCGGGTCAAACATAAACCCAGTCCAATGCCACCGTTTTCTGGGCATAATGGTCGACCAGGAGCTCAGATGGAAATCGCACGCGGCCCACGCTGTTGCCAAAGGAGCCAGACACGCGATGATGCTGCGAAGACTATCGTCAACGACGTGGGGCATACCCCTCAAGTTAATGCGCCAGCTCTACCAAGCAACGGTCGTCCCGAAGATCACATATGGCGCAAGCGTATGGATCCAGCCAAGCTACAAACCCAGCCTAGAAGGGACGAAGAAAGGATCACACGGAATAGCCAAGAAGATCACGACCATACAACGCACAGCAGTTATTGCCGCCACGGGGGCGATGCGTACCTCTCCCACTGACTCTTTGTTCGTACACGCGCACTTACAACCAGTACCAATCTTGTTTCAGAAAACGCTGCATAACACAGCACTACGTCTAGCCGCGTTACCACCACAACATCCCA